GTATCCTTAGATACTGTAAATCAAATAGTTCAATATGCTGGATAAACTGCCAGTTGTTCAAACTGTCTAGGCCAGTTCTTAAACTTGCATTTATAACAACAAATCGAATTCCCCTAGATCAAAAATCAGTTCCGCATTGTATGTAAGTTAAACCTCAATTTAAAAAAAGTAATTTTATTTAAAATACATTTGTATAAAATTTTCATTAAACTAACTAATACTCAACCAAATATCCATTAATTTTAATAGCTTACTAAAGCAACTGCATTTTGCTGATATTTATGAAGATTTTGGAAGAAATAGGAGCAAAGCAGTTGCCATTAAATAATAAAATTTTTCTGTATTTAGAGTTAAGTACGATATTTCTTTAAGATATAAAGTAACTGAGTCTAAACTTTAAGATACAGTCTGTAAACATTTTCAGTCATTAATCAAATATTCTCAGTGCAAAAGAAATATTCTTCCATAGATATTTATCCTAAGAGAGGAGATACCTTGGGCAATCCTGTTGTTCCAGATGTGTAAAGAATATACAGGGGATGTTCCGAAAGAACAGGAACACAGTCATGTGACTGTGCTGTTGCCATCTCTTCATCCCAATCAAGGTCACGACCTGGAGTCAAAGGAACCTTCTCCTACACACCAAAAATATAGGAAGATGCACTGAAAAAAGGAGATTAAATTGGCAGATAAACAGAGAATACCTGTATCTGTATAAGTCTGAGCATTTGACTGAATATCTAGGATTATATAGCACTAAACATTGGGTTTATGATGAAAGTCACAAGGTCATCAATTGAGATAAATGCTCATAAAAACTCCAACAGTTCAATCTCAGCTTCAACTGAATTGACAGAAGACAAGAATATGTTTTATTCAAATCTAGGGATATCTTTAAGAAATTCAATCAGATCTAGTCATATGTTTCCATCAACAGAGATTAAGTTACAGACGTTCATGTTTCCATAAATGTATGTATACTAATAACTTTATAGCTAATTTCTATTTTCCACAGACTATTTCTTGTACTTTGGAACTGTTGTCTTCACAATGAAATGTCAGCTAACACCTTAAAATTCCTCTTTATGTAAGTGCCACTTAGGAGGAATACTGTGGTCATGTTTCCAAATGGCAAAATATTAA